GCCGCTTGCAGACAGAGACCACGCTCATCACATCTCTCGAAAGTATGTGAGCATGGCGCCCGGAGAGATCATTGCAGCTCAGAACAAGTTCAAAAGAGGAAAGAGACATAATGTATGTGGTGTGGTGCTCCTCCCCCATATTGTTGTAGTGTTTATGTGGTCGGGCATCAGAGTGTCCGATGTCCGCGACGGGTATTTTGACTACTGGAAAATATATTGAACCAGCCGTTTGGAGGTGATGGCAACTCTTTCAAAGTGGCGTTGACTTAGTTAGGTTTTTGAGCCGCATCACCCGTTCAACGTTTGGCATCGGGTGTATCTCCACGCTGGGTTCCATGATTCACGAATAGACACTTAGTAGTAACTGGTCGATAGAAAAGTTGAGGGAGGCAATGACTTGGCAGTTTCACACGCAAGAGCGGCGTGGTCATCACTGTCAGAACAAAGGTTTATTCCGTGCCGTCCAAGTTTCCAGGATTGTCAGAAGATAAGTACTGAAAATGGCCGTTGAGGGATATGGTCTTCTGTCCCGAGCGCAACCATCTAGATAAATGGTAGAGATAACGGATTTTCACCTCCTAACACAACCTCGGTAGGGCTGATCTTCAACAGTCATCAAATATCACTGGAATCAACGATCTCGATTCCAACGAATATTTCCTCCATTCGCTGAAAACAAACCCGCAATACTTCTCTTAATGGCGAGAGATAAGGAGTCCACCCTCTTGTCCTTTAATCGTCGTCCGCGGTAGGCCCCGATTGCTTGCTTTGGAATGCTGACGACGAATAAGCTGTAAATAGTTGGCTGGTCCATTGAGACCGGGTAGGTGAGGTACATACCGATGCCTGAACTGAGAACTTGGCGCCAGAAGTGAGATGTCTGGACCGTATGGTCATGGGTAGGTACGGAGCTACTTCACAAGGAGGGGCGGATAGTTGATAAATGCAGTCAGTGCCTTCCTTCCTTCCTTCCTTACCTTACCACTCACAAGTGCGCTGCAGTAAGACGGACGTGTTGCCGTCGAATTATGAATGGTTGAAGACTCACGTAGGTAGTGGTGACTGCCCAACACATCCTGTGCAACCTGGCCGTGGCTTCCCGGCAGCGGCGCCGTGCCGTCATGCAGTGAGATCATAACAAAAGAGATCATTGAACCGGATTGCAAATTGGCGTTTCGGAACCGAGATCGAGTCCGAGGATGCTCGAGGCTCCGATGGGACGAGGAATGACGGGAAGATACTTCTTCTAATTTGCTTCAGTTACTTGGAGTGTTCTCTTAGAGGCTGGGTTTGGGCGCTGTGATGTGTATGGACCACCGACGACTGAACGACCGGACCGAGGGCGGGACGACATATCATAAGTAGCGAGCCGCCTTTATCCAACCATTTTAACCAAAGCCTAAAAACCAGCCACTGCCGACGTAGCAATTTCATGCTACGTATCTATCGGCATACCACCTATGCTGTGAAAGGCCGGAGCATGTTAAGAGCCGCTTGCCGACTCCGACAACGGCTGCGGTTATGTTGCAACCTTCGGGCATGGCATGCGATGACACAAGGCCGGTCGGTGATGTGAAGTCCGGACTTCATTTACTCGCAGTAGGAGGTCTTGCATACGAGGAGTGAAATGATCATCGCTCAAAAGCGCGTGAATGGAGTCGAGAAAGAAGTAATAATGAAGAAGGAGAAGGAGATAAAGAAGAAAGATAAAATGGAAGGAGCCACCCATAACACCTTGTGAGAATTCTTGACATTAGGTTGTGGTCTAAGCGCAGGATAGCCGCCCAGCAAAGAAGGAAGTAGCAATAAAAATCACTGGGCAGAACTTGCCTCGATTACAGTTGTATGCCGATATTGACATCAAGGTTCAAGACTGCCCGAGTCCCGTGTGTTACTGATCCGTCCATTCGCGCCTTGAATACTGAATGCTTCGAAGCCGGGTAGCTTCAAGGTACAAAGGGAAGCAAATGCGCATAGAATCGATATCCTTATCATTGCCAATAGCCAAACCAGCCAGCTACTCGTCAGGGCTAGAATTGCCCCCGAACCGCCTTGGGGAAGACCTGTTCAAGCACTGAGGACTAATCTCAAGCTGTTCAACATCACATTAATATCAATTTCGGTCAATGTTGGGGGAAGCCGGTGATGAGTGAGGCCACGGGGAGCCAGAAGCCGCCGCGCGGGGAAACAATTCGCTTCCCTGCCAACTCGCATCTCCCTTAGCAGGTAAATAGTACACTTTGGGTCCTCCTTTCCTTCAAGTTGGAAGAGAACTCGTCTTGCTTCTCGCTTGCTTGTTGCTGTTGCTCTTTCCCCGTTTCGTTTTGTTTCGCATCGCGCACACACTTCGACGCCGGAGGGGGTCATTCGAGACATGACGATGTATGTCATGCTATGCCATGGAACATCCCGCAAGCCACTATGTAGCCATGAAGCCATCAACTATGCGAACGCGTCATCCCTTCGTAGAGGGCTTATATGTTGCATCTGCCATGTGTGTGTCCGGACGAACTGTTTCGCGGGCTTCCATGGTGAAGAGCGGTCGATCTTTATCCGTCGGTTTAGTTCATCCCTTCGAACGTCGTTGGCAGGGTGAATTGCGCGGGGTGCCATTTTCCCAATAAAACAGGCGGGCATGCGAAAAGGGACACGTTTTTTTTACAGACAGGATTGAGTGACCCGTTCTGCTTGGGCTGGCTGTCCACCCGAAGTCTTCTCAGGACTTCTCTCACTCATCTTTAGAATCTGGACCCTTCGGAAGCTAAATTGGCCGGGCGAACGTATGGACTTCGGTCTGCATGCTCCTCGTAATATCCTTCTTTGCCATTTCCGAGACCTGCTCTTATTCCTGACTGTCGAGTGCGGGGGCTGTGATGGTGGTGGCCTACGAAGCCGCTCAAATGTGTGTGGTAGAAAGCGGAGGGCGGGAGATCAGACTGTTGTGATAGGCGTCACCGCAGCGGCAAACGAAAGAACAACTATGTGTGCTTCGGGTATCTCAGCAACGATCGGACAGCCGTTGCGAGCACAACGGCCAGCGGGTACATACTGGCACGAGGTTAATGAATAGAACGCCTGTCGGGTTATATGGATGTACGTACCTCTCCGCGATTCCGTTCTCTTTCTTTCTTCTTCTGCAACCCTTTGTCTGGACTCATTCATCATTTTCTCCGGCCACCGATTTCCCGAAGTTGGTCCCTCCATGCTCTCCCCACTACATCCTACTGCCAATCTCAGCTACAGCCATGATCTGCGTCCTTCCGGGAAGGGGTGAGAATGCGTACGCGTCCTCAAAGTGAGTACACGGAATCAACCGTCCGAGCGAGTGAATGCACGACTTTCGGGATGTCTTGGGGGGGGGAGGGGGGAAGGCGGCACATACGATTGGAATACCAAGAGAGTGCGAACGTGGGCGTTTACAGAAGGGGACGGTCGTGGTTAGGCAGGACTGGATGGATGATGAAAGGATAAATGGGATCCCAGACCGGTTCCGGGTCACCCCTCATCATTTTCAATATGTGGAAATGATGCCCTTTTCATGACTTTGGTAACTTCTCTTTCATTTGCTGTTTTCATCCCCTTCTGCGTTGGCACACTCGGACGACTTCTTCCAAACACCCGAGTGCAACATAGATGTGCCGGCATGTACCACTGCATTCATCAAGCATGAAAGATGGAGGTTTCTTTAGAGTGCTAAACGGAGAGGGAGAAAGGGGTATAAGGAGTACCTTCGCCCCCTGCTCGACACTGGTCTTCAACTGGGAGATGATTTCGGAAGAATGACTCGCCTCCCCGTTTGGCGCGAGCTAGATGCATCTACCAAATCATCCGATTAATGACGACGACACTCAAGTGCTCCAACATCAACAACATCATCCTCGACAGCCCTTGATGACTTCGACTGGCAGCTGGCAAAGAATGAAAAGAGATCATGGCGTGACCCTGGTGGCTTCAGGGATATGTTCGGTGTCCGGTGTTCGAAAACGATAACTCCAACAATGCATTCATCGAACCTATCCTCGACTGGGGGAAGTGAGAAAAATATCGACGAACCAGCAACTCTTCCCGGATACCCATCAAACGATCAAAAGGAGGCGATGGACAAGGACGTGGGAAAGTGGGTAGGATCGAACAGGATCCGAAGCTGAAGCATCATCCACGACTGGGCCAACCTGCCATCCAGCTTAACACATCCCGCCGGTTCCGCTTGGAGACAACGGTGAAGAACAGTACACATGCGATATGAGCAACAGCCAGCGGAGGGCGATATGCATTTTTGAGATAGACGAGCAAAGTGGAAAGAAGCGAGGGAATACCTCTAAACTGGCAGATGGAGATGAAGGGTCGACGCTGCGACGATCGATAATGCTTTCGAAGGTTTCAGCCCATGCGTCTCGTCAAGTACATCTGGAACATCGTCCAAGGAGTCTTCCAAAAGAGGGGAGATGGATCTGAGGTCTATCTGGGTCAGCAAGCTCTCGAAAAGGATTGAAGGATACACCCACCTTGGGCCGGAAGAGTTTTGAGCAAGAGTCATCAGGACGAATCCTGCGCTGATCCGAACAGTGACGGAAAAGTCCTTGTGAGTTTAAGGTGGTGAATATTATGATACTGTGGCTGGATCATGAGCATAGGGTTTGGCTCTCAGGCCGTGACTGCGTGGTGATACTAACTTGCAGGCCAGTCGGATACGTCACTCGTGCCTTGTCAACCTCAAGCTTGCGGACAAGCACGAAGCTCCGAGCCGGAAAACATGGAGGTGGAAGGAACGAACTCGAATACCACTTCCCATGCGTCGAACGATATGAAACCCACCTGTTGGTGAATCTCTAGACTAAGACCCGACATAACACGGACTTTGAGGAAAACCAGGCTGCTGACGTACTCAGTTCTCTAACTTGGATACAGCTGATTCGAAGGCATACATAGGAGTATTGTGTATGTGTTTGCGTAGGAAAAGAATGGATGGATCCTGAGTGGAAAGCTTTATGGGATCGACTGATCCAATGTGCAGGAGGAAAAGCAAAGCTTCATCGTGCCTTTCAGTGTGGTCGAGAAGTCTTCAGGAGTCAACAAAGAAAAGGAAGAACATCCTTGAAGCATTATTACCCGCGGTTTGGTACTGGAATTGACCCGAAGTGGGAGGTACTCATTAGTACTGGCCGAAGCTTGATGGGCAAGTGAGAACTTGGAAGCAGTAGGTCAGGGGAAGACTTTGGAAACCGTCAACACACACTCGTTGAACTAGTAATAATCCCAAGGACCTGAACTAGTCTGCTCTCACCGTCGTGGCAGAATGTTGAATGTTGACTTTGAAGTTATTGCGGAGCTATGGCGGGTACAACTGGAAAGATGGATGATGGGTCAAGGTCATGGACGTTTAACATGCCAAAGCGAAAAAAAAAAAAAAAAAAGAGAGAAAAAAAGGTAAGAAGTAAATGGTTCGGGTTAGCATCGTCGAGCACGTACCGATCGCAGCAAACAAACATGGGGGGAAAAAAAAACAACGATAACAGGGCATGGGTATGAGAAGTGATAGATAGCAAAGAGGGAGAGGATGTTAGTGGCATATCGAGTGAAGGCCTCATCAACAGGATGTAAGTGCAGGGTAGGTAATGTAAATTAGAGAAGAAAACAAAGAAGTCCACAGTTCCAATAGACGGCCTCTGTTGCCATGACCAAACAGACAAAAGAGAAATTATGTTGATGTTGTCCAAAACAATCTTGGCGATCTTTGTGGCCATATTGTATATCAGTATTGGCGAAGAACCCGTTGATGTGGTAACACGGCTTGGTTTCTATTCTCGTATGATTCCGCCGTCCGATGGAAGCATGGAAGAATGGAAGCACAAGTAACAACTAAGCGAAGCTGATGTGAAGCTGACATTGTCCGTCGAAGATCATCAGGTGGGACGGGATGCGATGCCAAGACTTCGACCATGAAGTCGGACTTACCAGCCACTCCTAACTCCTCTTTCCAGCCGGGTGCAGTGGGGTTGGCCAAGGTGCATTTACCCAACAAGGAAGGCGGTGGGACTTTGCTACAGGGGGCCTTCAAGTGCTGAACAGGCCCGGGGATCGATCGGCCTTCTGAATGATGACATGAGTTGGGTGAGGTTCAACTTGTTGCCAGCAACACAAACCTAAGTCACAACGAAACAGCTGATTGCACGAATTGCCAGCAACAATGAGATAGCCATTGTATCTTGCCTAAAAACAACATTCTGTCAAGAAAGAAACTACTACAACATCAGAGACCAAACCTCATCTGCTACAACCGAATACCCGCTCAAGAGGATTACACCAAATTTGTAGCGGCAGCATGAGAGTTGAAATCGCCGTGCCCGCGATCGCGGCGCTCTGTTACAGGGCTCACTCCAAGAAGTCGTTGACACCCGGCGGCATCTTTGCTGCTCTCCTTACGGCCATTGCACACGCAGTTCACCCTTGGAATCTTCCCTTTGCTCTGCTCGTCGTGTTCTTCCTGGCGGGAACGCGGGTAACGCATGTAAGTCTGAAGCTCTACCCAGGGGCGGCACAAGTTAGTCGTGGACATGACTACTAATATCGACATGTTTCCCCGGCTAGGTAAAGGAAAACGTCAAGGCCAAGCTCACAGTACACTCCAAGGGCACGTCGGGCGGCGAGGGCCCGAGAAGTCACACCCAAGTGTTCGCCAACTCGCTCACGGCTTCCATCTTCTCTCTGCTCCACGCTTATCAGCTCCATGTGCGCAAGCAGGCGCTGATCGCTAATCCCACCAGCACCGGGACCGGTAGCCTTTGCTTCTCCTGGGGCGGCGATTTGTTGGTGATTGGTATCATTGCCAATTATGCCTGCGTTGCGGCCGACACCTTTAGCTCCGAGCTGGGCATTCTGTCCAAGGGCGAGCCGCGCCTAATCACAAGCTGGAACTTGCGCAAGGTACCGCGTGGCACCAACGGCGGCGTCTCCCTCGTCGGTCTTGGCGCTGGCCTGTTGGGCAGCATGATCATCGTTACGGCGTCCATGCTTCTTTTGCCTCTTTGCACTGACGAGACGGCTACGAGACTTGGCGGTGCCGCGGGCTGGTCACTGGGACAGCGCCGTATGCTGATTCTCGGTCTCACCGTCTGGGGTTTCTTGGGCAGCGTTGTGGACAGCATTTTGGGCGGGCTCTTCCAGGCCAGTGTCAAGGATGTGCGAACGGGCAAGATTGTGGAGGGCGAGGGTGGCGTGAGGGTACTGGTTACCAACGCTACGAACCCCAACAACGTTGCTGGTCGTACTAAGGCTGAGATCAAGTCCTCTCTTCTGTCTGGCGAGGGGACGGATGCGGTGGAGGATGTCGGCGCCGCTTCCGGTAACAAGTACGATCCGCGCAACAAGCAGCGGAGGTCGAGCTTTGGAGACGAGAGGCCGTCGCGAGTGGTGGAGAACGGCTGGGACCTGCTTGATAACAATGATGTCAACTTCTTGATGGCATCTGGCATGAGCGTGGGAGCGATGGCCGTCGCATCGTGGTATTGGGGAGTTCCTCTGCAGTCTGTGTTGTCGCCATGGTGGGCGTAAGGCAGTCGCAGGTGGGTAGTGAATGACTTTTGCTAGATGTTGGCTAGGTAAACAATTCCATGGATGACATATGAGAGTTTAGTCGTCATTTTGATTACATATCTAGATCGCGGCTTTGGGTGAAGCTTGGGCAGGAGGTACCTTGCTATCCGGATGATGCTAACCAAAAGCCGGCGCGATTGTCCATTGAGGTTCTCATTGTACCAAACATCCACAATTCAAGACCAGCGATCCGTACATGGGATCGAAGACCAGCCCGGCTTACAATTGAATCCTTTAGTATTCTATACACGAGAACATCGTATAGACTAGTCTTTGTAATTGTGACTTGCTACCATTTTGGGCCATAATGTGTGGTAGACACCGTGACGTGTGTACACAAGGCTTTTATCGGCCTTGTGACAATGGTCCTGTGACCGAGCCGGATGACCTGCCCTCGGCCAGGCGGCAGTAACGAAACATGAAGTAGGTAGCTGATGAATGATGGAACTTTCCGTCCGGCTCGGCAGCCCCGTTGTAAGTCAAGGTGGCCGCTTTCCGGAGCGCTCTGACCCCGCGATGCTGCCGTATGTCGTCCCTGCATCCTCCCAAATCCTCCACTAATTCCCCCATTCTTCACCCCAGATCCCCGCCCGCCTCCTTCCACCCCGTTTTCCATTACACCATCTCTTGATTGTTGCCCCGCTGCAGTGTTCGCTTGTCCACTTCCTCCTAACCTACTAACAGCTCCAACACCCACTTGATTGCCCGCTGCCGTCCACCGCGATTGCTGATTCTTGTCGGCTGACAACCGAACACCGACCGAATGCGCATCCGACACATGATGTTCTCCTGAACAAGCAAGGCGGTACCTTACATCGACCGACGACGCTACGACCCAGACAGCCCACCGAGCCTTGTTTGACTTGACGTACCTAGCTTCATTAGCTCCAACCTCTGGAGTCTGTTCGCTCCCGCTCCCAGGATTCAATCGAGGGGCCATCGCGGTTCCTCCATTCCCCATTCGCCGTCTTCACCATCCAGTCGGACGACATCTGGTCAGACGAAACGAACGACCTCCCATCCGCGATTCAGTGTCGTCCACCTGTGTTGCAAGCGACTCCGTCCGCCATGGCACAGGCCTACGATGACGAGGAGCTTTCCATCTCCTTGTCTCCTTCTCAGATCCGAAGTCGCAATAAGCGATCCGGCGATGGCGCATCAGGTTTTGGCCCCAGTACCGGCAACCTCCACGAATACGGCCAACACGGTCAGCAATTACACCCTAATATCAACGCCGTCATGGCCGACGCACCCCTCCGCGACAAGATGCGCACCGAGCAGCGCATCGGTGCCTATAACATTGTCAAGACGCTCGGCGAAGGCAGCTTCGGAAAGGTCAAGCTGGCTGTCCATCGCAGCACCGGCCAGCAGGTCGCTCTCAAGATCATCGCCCGCAAGAAGCTCATCAGCCGCGACATGCAAGGTCGCGTAGAGCGCGAGATCGAGTATCTTCAATTGCTAAGGCATCCCCATATCATCAAGCTGTAAGGCACCCCTTGACGCCCATGCGCAGACGTTGGCTCTGGTCCTTCAAGTACACGTTGGCTAACCCGGCGCGCATACCAGGTACACCGTCATCAAAACACCAACCGAGATCATCATGGTGCTAGAGTATGCCGGCGGCGAATTGTTCGATTACATTGTTCAACATGGAAAGATGAAGGAGGACGAAGCCCGCCGCTTCTTTCAGCAGATGCTATGCGCCGTCGAATACTGTCATCGTCACAAGATCGTTCATCGCGACCTAAAGCCCGAAAACCTCTTGCTGGACGATAATCTCAATGTCAAAATTGCCGATTTTGGTCTTAGCAATATTATGACCGACGGTAACTTCCTCAAGACCAGCTGCGGCTCTCCCAATTACGCGGCTCCCGAGGTCATTGGCGGCAAGCTTTACGCAGGACCTGAAGTCGATGTCTGGAGTTGCGGTGTCATTCTTTACGTCCTACTCGTCGGGCGCCTCCCTTTCGACGACGAGCATATCCCCAGTCTTTTTGCCAAAATTGCGCGTGGAAGCTACATGGTGCCGACATGGATGAGTCCCGGCGCGGCGTCACTAATCAAGAAGATGTTGGTCGTCAACCCTGTTCAACGTGCCACAATTGACGAAATCCGCCAGGACCCGTGGTTTCTCAAGGATCTGCCGGCTTACCTTCACCCTCCTGTCGAGGAGTTCCTCAATACTGGCGTGGACCCCAACAAGGCCATCAAGGTTAGCGACATTGCGCCAAATGCCCCTCCGCAGGAACAGGAGAAGCTGCATAATGAGGTCACGGAGAAGATCAGTAAAACCATGGGCTACGGCAAGAGAGATGTCGAAGAGGCCTTGGAGGCCGATGAACCCTCGGCCATCAAAGATGCCTACATGATCGTGCGTGAGAACAAGCTGATGCAGAGTAACCGTGAGTCTACGCTCCCTCCCAACAAGTCTTTTGTCTTCTCATCTTTGGAACCTATCGATCCCTTTGCGATGCTATACTCGTCCGTTTTGTCCTTCTTTCGCAGTTGACTTTGCCACGTCCCATTCTCCTTGGGCGTCTATTTTACACTTGCCTAGTGGTGAACATCGCTTGACGCAAAAAAGCAAATCCTTGAGTTTGCGACCATCGTCCTCTTGGAACAACACCAATGAGGAATACCAGGATATCCTACTAAAAACCGATGAAGAAATTCCAGGCCTCACGACAGAGGAGTCTGTCCCGAGTCCGCTCCATGACCCAAATATGTCATCAGCTCGCTCGATCGCATCCGTTAGCACAGGAACTTCACCGCGGCCATATGTCAGCAAGATCGGCATTTTGCCTAGCAGTCTTCCTACCTACCACAGGGTCTTTATGGAGCGAGAGAAGGCCAAGGCCGAAGGTCTTGAGCCCCCTGATGCCATCCCCACGATCGTTGAGCCGGCAAATCAGCCGCGCAGCCAAGCCGAACAAGAAGAGACCATCCGAAGACTCAAGCCACATTCGAGGAGTCAACTTCGCCTTGACGAGGCCAACAAGCGCCCACAAGGACTGACCCCCGTCCACCCGCCCAAGAAGAACAAGCCTGCTCGATGGCAATTTGGTATTCGATCCCGGAACGCTCCTTGGGAGGCGCTGGTGTGTATTTACAAGGCGCTAAACAAGCTTGGCGCTGGGTGGATTGTCGATGAAGACTACGAAAGAGCCCACCGGGACGATGACGACACTGATGACTATGATGGGCCTAGTATCGGGGCCCGCAAGAAGTCATCATCCAGCATGGATCCCACCAAGACATATAGACTTCCTGCGGACCCCTGGCATATCAAGATTCGGTGGACAACTGATAGTGAGTTTCCGGTCGGTCCGCCCTACATGGCAAGGTTTGGCTAACTTGGCTGTCAGAACTCAAAAAGCATTCTGTTGCCTCCGGCCTCAGCGAAGCAGGAGAGAACATGCATGTTGGCCGGGATGGCAGCGACAGCAAATACCAGGTTGTGGCCATGCGTATGGAGATTCAGATATACGAAATGGAGCACGGCGTCTATCTTGTCGATTTCAAGGTAGACGGCTACGAGACCCCTGATGGAAAGCTTCTAGAGGATAAGGAAGTCACGAGCCCCTTCCCCTTCCTTGATATGGCGGCCAAACTCATCATGCAGTTGGCAGACGCAGATTGAGATGCCCCGACAAATGATTAATGGCTTGCGGTCGCTATGTTCATGCCTTTGCTTTTGTATCACTGATTCGGGGCATTCAGTTCTGGCTAATGGGTTGCTGATGCCTTTGTACCCTTTGCATATACTTACCGCAGCCTACACTGTTGGACACCATCAACAAACATGACTAATGCTCCTTGACTTGTTGAACAGGAGGAAACATTCGCAGTACGGGTTGGGAAGATCATTTTTCATGGAAGCAATTCGACATACAAGATACGCCCACGTTTAGAGACTATGGGGCCGGGCGTCATCATTCTCTTCTATACCATGTCATGTCTCATCATGCACCAGCAGTGTTTTGATGGTCGAGTTTGTCAGTGCTAGACTGGCTTTGAAATTAGGACTCTTTCTCTCGCTGGAGGAAGACACGGCATCACACATTCGTTCCGTTGGGTTGGCTTTTAATGCTGCATCTACACATCTCGGGGATGACTTGGGAGCGTGGAGGCTTCATTTTTTTTTTCCCCCTATAAAGACATATCAGACTGCCCGTCATGATGTTGACGGTGGGCATTAGAATGATCAAGCTATGGTGGTTGAACGCTATTTGGGATACCCGTTGGGAGGAGATAGACTTGAATCTGATTTTGAGACGAGCCACTTGTAGTCATTTTTTGCGGAAACTAGATGTACACCAAAAAACCATGTAGAATTTATTACTCCCTAGCACGCTGTTCGATAAAGACATGGTGCATATCTCTTGGGATATCATCTAGGTCATAAAGTTGTGCCCCAACTCAGTATAAAATCAATTTAACCGCCACCAATTACAGAGCAAAAAGTTGATAGGTAGGTAACTATTTGGTTGATGATCACAGTGTGACAGATGCCCGTTTCCCAAGCTCAAACACACATTGACAGTTTACAAGACTTGACCAAATCCAAGTGTTTGAGCTAGGTAGTTTGTATATGTGCCCTCCATCCAGTCCACCGCCACATGTGGCGCAGTCTTTTGTATCCTGCAGGCCTAACAGCTGGGACATTTACTTGGGGGAGTGCTCAGGGTTGGACGTGGTGGGGCTGATGTCATATCCGATACGCAGGAACCAGAAACCCAAGAGCCATCGTAGGCGGCTCAGTGAATGAAACTAGTTTTGAGCACGTGAACGACAGTGGTACTGTATTCCTGGCCTTCTCCTGGCTTTGTTTGACCATAAGTAGCAAAGTCTATTTAGACCGTTCTGGACCGCGAAACTGAGATCTTTGATAGACTCGAAATGTAACAGGCTCCATGTCGTTGGTAACGTGCCCTTCACCGCGCAGGCAGTACGTACGTGCATTCATCATTGAACATGGCGTGTGGATGTGAAACTTTGTCATTGGTGGAGTGCACTCCGTGAGCATTGCGCATTGGTGGTTGAACGGTATCATTCCTGCTTCGAAGAGCGCTAGAAGGAGGATATGAGACCTGTCTGGCACACAGGGTAAGCCAAGCCAAGGTAAGATCATACCCGTCTACCTACCTCATTGAAAGTGCGTTTTGGTACGTTCGGTAATCCGGCAAGTCGGGGCAAAATATGTAGTTTCGGATATGTGCAAAGACTTATGCAAGCTGTCAACAAGGCAAGAAGACCGCAAGCATTCGTAATTACAAAGCAAGGCAAGTCAAAATGCACAACGAAAGCAAGGCAAAGTTTTGGCCAGGCCCTCACCTGGCTTGTATGCTACGTTGGATGAGACTTACATACTTTTGATTCCTGAATGGTGGGTCAAGTCCGAAGCTTTCTGATATGTTCGGGCAATGAAGCTATCGTGATCAGGAGTTTGCATGGTCCGACCAAATTTCCGGCAGATTTGGTCTTGTTTTATTCCAATTCGGCATCGAGAATCAGGATGGAACCATGGAAGTCAACCACATCACGTTCACGTTATGTTCCCCACGCTGACGATGTTTCCTTCTCCTCCAAATGTCCCCATAGAATCCCCCACCTTCCGCGCAACAAGCGCTCCGATCTTCATCTGGATCTAGGTACTGCGATACTTGATTCCTACCAAAGAACGGAGAATATTTCCACGCTAGGTTGGAAAGGAAAGTGATAACATCGATGGTGGTGGTCCTGCTGACATCCTGATGGAAGCGGTAGGTGCAACTAAAAGGGACAAAGTCGGCTCGACATTGTCGACTGAACACAAGACAGAGGCGAAGATAGGAAGGTTCGGCTCACTACCTACTGAAGATCTCCATCTTCCTTCGCCTATCCCCATCCACTTGGCGGAGAAATGGGCCGCAAAGTATAAGTGGCGAGAAGCTGTTTCAAACATCGCGGGGCCGAAGAGCTTCATCAGGGTCATCAGCTCTTCAAACTCGTCAGCTCATCTGTCCCATCCTAGGTCTGGAACGTTACCTACCTAGCAATTCTCGTCGATCCTCCATCATCACAAAGCGCCCTAGTACTGTGGTACTGCCGGATTTCGGAGAGAGCAAGAGCAAGGCTGCGGTTCGGTGCAATGCAATGCTTCGACGGGCATATGTCATGGAAACCCGTCATGTACATACAACTGAGTACTATGCGCGGAAATCAGGTACTTGAGGAGTGAAGGAAAATAAGAACGAAACAGATAAGCGATGAGGTACTAACCTAGAAAGATTGTACACTAGTTCTCCTCCTCCTCCTCCTTGTTCCTTGCTCGAACCCTAGCCTTGTAAGCTTCTACCCCGGATCTACACCCGGGATTTTGCCACGATGCGATTTTCGGGATGCAACGATCACCAAGCTCGGTTAGGGATTAGCTCGACTTGCCATGGAGTATCATTCATTGCCAGTGGTTACCTACCTGACTTACATACGTTGGGACGAAGGAGACAAGCAGAACGAGTACATAAACCAGTCTTGCTGCCGCTTTCTTTGAACAAGTAGAGATTCCAACTGCCGCCTGTTTCCGAAGTCTCACAGTTCAAGAGCCACGCCCTCAACCACTCAATATGACAAAGCCAACAGTGTATCCCAAGATTGACATGTCTGCAACAAAATCGCACGGCGACTGTACCAAGGTCGTGGACGTCCAGAACATTGAACTTACCGAAAGTCCTTCCTCCCATGATCACCCCGATCATAACAATGCCCTTCGGCCACCGTCTTGGATTGCAGCCCTGAGTCCGGCAGAGCGCCAGGACCTGGAGAAGAAGTTGAAGAGAAAGATTGACTGGAGGTTGATGCCGGCTGTTTTGATTATGTATTTCTTGAACTATATTGATCGGTATGTCCATACTCTCTTTGCTTTGCGTCCGTTACCTCGATCATATGGGTGATCCGGGATATCCTGAGAGAACGGGGGTTGGGAATATGGCACGGGAAGAATTGGATGGAAAAAGAAGACAGTCACTCACTGACACATATACCATACAACAGAAACAACATCGCTGCCGCCAAACTCGCCAACCTCGAGCGCGACCTTAACCTTTCCTCCGTCCAGTATCAAACCTCCGTCAGCATCCTCTTTGTCGGCTACCTCCTGATGCAACTCCCATCCAACTTGTTTCTCAACAAGTTTGGAAAACCGGCCATTTATCTTCCTTGTTGCGTAGGTCACTTCTTACTTCCTTCCTTTCCTCCCTTCACTTCCTCTTTTCACCATCTTTGTATCCTCCTCCATTACTCTCTGACTAACCCACTGAACAGATGATAGTCTGGGGCACCATCTCCGCCGCCACCTCCGCCTGCACCTCCGTCACCGGCCTTTACGTCGTCCGTTTCCTCCTCGGATTCGTCGAAGCCGCCTATTTCCCGGGTTGTCTGTACTACCTTTCTTGCTGGTACACGCGTTCCGAGCTCGGCTTGCGTACCGCCATCCTATACTCGGGCTCCCTCTTATCAGGTGCCTTTTCCGGTCTTATCACAGCGGGCGTGGTATCCGGATTGGATGGAGCAAGGGGGTTTCATGCCTGGCAGTGGCTGTTCATCCTCGAGGGATCGGCGACCATATTCGTCGCTTTTGCGTGTTTCTTTGTGCTGCCGAATTTCCCCAGGACGACGAGCTGGCTGACGGAGGAAGAGAAGTCGCTGGCGGTTTGGCGGTTAGAAGAGGATGTAGGCGTGGATGATTGGGTGGGAGGGGAGAAGCAGACTTTTTGGCAGGGGGCTAAGATGGCGTTTACGGATTTCAGGACTTATGTTTTGGTTAGTATTCTCTCCCCCCCTTCGCGTATTTTACCGCGTGTTTGTGTGGTAAAGTCGGAAACTAACATGGACGACGACGACGACGACGATAGATGGTCCTCCTCTTCTGCATTGTCGCCTCCGGCACCGTCACCAACTTCTTCCCCACCGTCGTCCAAACCCTCGGCTACAGCAGGATTCACTCCCTCCTGCTCACCGCGCCGCCCTACGTTTTGGCTGTCATTGTCACCTTCGCCAACGCCTGGCACGCCGACAAGACGGGCGAACGATACTTCCACATTGCCGTCCCCATGTGCGTCGCCATCGTGGCGTACATCATCGCCGCGACAACAACGCATGTTGCCCCCCGCTATCTGAGCATGATGCTCATGGTCCCTTCGGTCTACTCCAGCTTCGTGGTGGCGATATCGTGGGTCTCGAATACCATGCCCAGACCGCCGGCGAAGAGAGCGGCAGCACTGGCCTTTATCAATGCGGTCGGTAGCTTCAGTAGCATCTACGCTAGCTATCTGTATCCGAATAGCGCGGCGCCGCATTACACGGTGGCCATGGTGGTGAACTGTGTTACGGCGTTTGTTGCGGTGTGTGCGGCGACGGCGATGAGGATGATTCTGAGCAGGCAAAATAAGAAGTTGGCGAGGGGAGAGTGGGTGGACGGGGCCATCAATGTTGAGGGGTTCAGGTTCAAGCTTTGAGCGATCTTGACTTGGTTGATGACTTTTGTATTTTTTTGAGTCCCGGACGGGTTGGTACATATTACGTTCATATTCGTTTGCTATACTTACATACATACTTGGAAAATACATACAACAGACTCCCGCTAAGCGCTTACAACTTTTT